ACTCTTTATACTTTGGCTGTTGTTAATGTTCAGATAACTGAATTGACTCTTACTGGAAGATGATCTCATAGTGCCGTGGCATTCCTGTCTTCCCTTCACATGCAATGCTGAAAGTGGAATGTGTGCCTCAAGGCCATGATTGCCAGGATCCTCTGCATTTGGTCAAATTAACTAGGGAACCTGCTTGTAGCCAAGAACCACTTGGGAGAAGTGCACCTCAGGAATTAACAATTCCTTCTGAAATACACTTTGGCACTATATCCAGAAAATGTGTATGTTCAACTTTCTTTTACAAAAAAAAAGCTATTGAAAAACAAATTATGCCCCACTAGGGAAGAAGGTTTGTAAGTTGTGTCCTACAATCACTATTGTCTCAAATAGAAATAATAGATTCTGTTAAAATGACCAGCACTAGGGCAGTAGATCTGCACATAAGTGTTCTTCTCTGAGCTCTATGTTCCTATTTGTGATACAAACACCAGAGTCTTTTATTGTATTTTGATACCTACTGGCTTCTGACAGATGTACTTTTTAACCTGCACGTTGCTATCATTAAGCTGCCTAAAGACTTGCTTTTCAACTGAAGCTTCTACAAAACTGCCAAAGGTGAAAATGCCTCAGAAATTAATTTATTTGCCTTTCACAGAGTGTGGTGATGCAGACAATATAAGACAGTGCTGTGATTTCTTGAGTGAGAAAAAGTAGCTATCTCCTATCTAAAATTCTTTTGCCTAAAACTTGAAGCTAAAAATAGCAATAGATTCTCACTAAGAAGTGAATACTCAAACATGAGGTGTTAAACAGAACTCCCATTAACTTACTTTTAATTATTTGTTCGGAAGTTATCAAACTTTCAGAAAAGACACCTAGAAATGAAAGAACAGGACAGTAAAATCTCAGTATTACAGAACCAAACGTACTTACTAAAAAGGAAAGTAAATGTTATGATGCCAGATATATCTTAGAGTGAAAGAATTGTGTGTAATTCTGGACAGTTAGCAGGAAACAAGATGATGTCAGGAAATTATTTACTATAGGTCAATGATTGTGTGGTTAAGTTGCTCCATTGAAGTACATTGATAAGTATTTTGATTAATTTTCCAACCATAAGTCCAGAACAGGCATGTGGGACCCTGATAAATCCCATTTTAGGCTGAGAATGAGATGAAGTAATGAATCCACTAAAGAATTGCTTACAGGAACCCCAGGAATTTTTTGTGGTCACTGCCTGGAGTGGTGTCTCACTTGGATGTTTTCCTTTCCTGGTGTAGCAAATCACACACAACCCTAAGTTTGTTTTCTCCCCTTCACTGAGTGAAGTCTTCCATTAGCTTCTGGTCTGTTTCTCACCTTGGCATCACTTGTGCTCATGATCTTTTTCTGCACATATCATCAATTCATTACAGTAATACACTCTGCTCAAAGAATTCAAGTGCTCCCAAACATTAAAGCTATTTGAAGGTCAAACCCAATTCTGCATCTAAATTTTGCAGTCCCTAAAGAGAATAAAAACTAAATGCATAGGTGTGATGTTGGCTCAGTAACATAATTAGCAAACTTCTAGTTGACTTCAGGAGGATGGATTTGATGCCAAACATCAATATCAATAGCTCCAGCCACCAGCAGGGCTTGAAATAAGAAGCTGGATGTGAATCCTGCTTTATTAATTTCTGCTGAAAAATTAATTTAACTTTGCAAAGTGTTTTCTGCTCACATTTTATTTTTTTTTTACTGTCCCAACTAAATTTAACTTTCCTAAAGAACCTGAGAATTTAAATGAGCTTCCTGTCCATGCACGTTTGTGATTTTTTGTACCACTCATTTCTTTTTTGATAGCACATTGTTTTATTCTTTCAGTCTTAAAAAAAAAGAGAAAGAGAAAAGAAAAACCTGACACAAAAGTGAATTTTTTTTTATTGCATTTCATTTTAAGTCGTCTTTTTAAAGATCTGTCATTTATACAATGACAAGAAAACTTTCTAAATTGGAACTAATTTATGAATTCCTTCTTTTTGGCATAATGTCACTTTGCAAGTTAAAATGATAATGACTGGAAAGATCAAATATGTTTATCTAAAAAAAGAAGAGAGGTTTTAAGAGTTTGTGCTCATTAGAAATCTTTGCAAACTCTGTACACAGTAGGCATTATAGATTTTTTGAGTGCAAAAATCCTTTCAGTCAAGAAAAAGATGTAGCTGAGAATGGGAAAGGTTGAAGCAAGTTCAGAATCCTTTTGTCTAGCAGCTATAAATGGGTGAAATATCTGTTTTTCACATATGTGATTTTTAGAATGAGATTTGATTTTGTCACCAAACCAATCCTTCATGCTCCATGTATGTGATTGGATTCTTCCCATTCAACCTTCCATTCATGAGCAATCTTTCAACTGCAACAATATTCACAAGCCAGTGTGTTACCTGTTGGTTTTTAATAACTTCTCCTTTGTAACAGTGATTTAGGAATGTGCATCCAAAGGGCTTACAGTGGACCTTCAGTACACTGGAAAATTTTCTGACCTCTCTCCTTTCATTATGAGGATTTTGATGCAAAGGAAACAACTAAGCTGTAGCAAATGAAGTAGAATTAATACCATTATGCTCACAATATGCCCACTGCCTGGGGGAGTGCTGCCGACTGATCTAATACCAGAATCGCATCCTCACACCATTGTAAAATGCATCCATATGTTTCTTATCAAGGCCACTGGTGGCACAAGTCCTTGATCCAGGCAAGTAATAGTCTTTAAAGCTGCACAGAAGAAAAGTTTCATTTGGTGCTGTTCCTGTGCCCTGCATTGTTGCTTCCTCTTACACTTCTGATTCCTACCAGTAATGTTGGCATGTCACCATCTGTTCCCTCTTCCAACATGTCAGATTGTGTCTTTATCCTATGTTTTAATCTCTCTTCACCAATGACGTGCTCTTCACCAATGAAGTGTTTAAAATGGTGTGAGGAAAATATTAGTCTATGATATAAAAAGGAAGAAATCTGTTTCTCCCACTCATTTTCTTTCAGTGAAGATGTGCAGATTTTTAAAGCATGTGCTAAAAAATAATTATGAAAGAATTATGAAAATGCTACAAAAATGCCATATGAAATTTTCTAATGCTTTGTGTAGGCACAACTGGATTCAGTGCAGATTTAAGACTGCAAATGAATAAGGAAGCAATTTCTGTCTTATATTACCAAAAATAGATGGGCTTGTAGTTTCACCTTAATGTAATTTCCAGTGTAGCCTTCGCACACAAAAAAAAAATCCTTCTAATATCTGATGCAAAAACATGCAAAGATTAGAACAAAAATAGAAACATGAATAAGATAAAAAGTATTCAGACTACATTGTTTCATTTTTAAATTACTCTGAGTATTGTTTTCTCCCTCGAGATCATGAAGAAAGCGCCTATCCAGGGTTTTACTTTGGCACCACTTGTCACTGAAGAACATCTCACAGCTGAGTGGTGATCTCTGAACATCTGTCTTATTCTCAGGAGCTTCCACTGTCAGGTCCTGATGATGCCACTTTTTTTACTAGGCACAACTTCTAAGGATCAGTTATTTGAGACATGCTGAAAAAAAAATTAGTGAATCAGTATGTATGATATTACCCAGTGACAAGTATGATTTGTCTTTTTGTTTACAGAATAATTTGTTGGGGTTTTCCCATCTTTTGTATGCAAAATCTCTAAGGCAGTTCAGGAGTGATATGGGACAAAAGCCCTCCTATATGTGCAGTACTCACACTGATACTCCTGAGCAGAGGATTCAGTAACATTCTCCATTTTATATTCAGTGTCGAGAAGACGAAAGCTTAAATAAGAAGACTACAATTAGTTAACGTGCCCTGTTATACAAAGCTTCAAATCTCAAATGAAATATGAAAAGTGAACACAAGAGCAGGTGCTGCAGCTGGCTGGCATTAAAAAAAAGGTTTCATTGCTGTCACATATTTGAAGCACAAGGAGATGGGAGTGTCTATGATCAACATCATATTAAAAGCCTTTTCAAAGAAAATAAGTGATCCCAAACTATTTGGATGCTATCCAAATTTCTTTGGAAGCACTCTAATATGAGAATAATTGAAAGCAAATCTCTTGATAAAGATTTAATGTTTATCTTTATTCTGAGATCAGAAATTCATCCTACCACTTTACAGAGCTCAAAAGGTGTGTGGATGTGGCACTTGGGAATATAGTTTAATGTTGAACATGGTGCTGGGTTTACAACTGGACTCGATGATCTTACAGGTCTTTTACAGCCTTAAGGATTCTATGTTTAGCTGTCACATTTATAGGATCATGTTCTTGACTTATGTTCTTTATTTCAAAGATAATTTGAGAAACAGTGAAATGCACTGATGTGCATCCTGTTAAGGATCCACAGTATTTGTGAATCAACAACCTTTTTATGAAGCTGTAAGACAGAAAAAGATGTTTATACAAAATATTCCTGAACTAGATTGTGTCAGTCTGTTACATGTAAATATAGGTAAAGATGTCTTTGAAATTATATATTTTAAATGTTTTAAGTTATTTGCAGAGGGTGATGGGGCAGAATTTAGATTTTTTATGAAATCCACCAAAACCACAATTTACACCAGCTATATTATAAAATAAAAGATAAGTTTTGAATAATCTTTTCTCATTTTTAAAGATCTTAAGCTACTTAAAAATATGACAGAGAGGACAGTGAAAATTCAGTTCCAGCTCCAGATCATGAACTGAATCCTGTTCCACTTCCTTTTTGCCTGTCTCCACATAAATACAGCTTTATTTAAAAGCATTTGTTCAAAAGAGACCATTACAGTCTTTACATTTGTGAAGAGTGACAGAGTATAAGAATAATTAGTTCATGGCTGTTTCTCCTTCCATATTTGTGTTGTGGTTTTAAGACTGGCTAGAGATGAACCACACAGGTTTTCAAGAAGGAGCAGGAAGACAGAGATCTGCTTATGAAAATTACTTGCTATAAAAATTATCCTTGTCTATCATATTTCCTTGCAGAAAAGATTTTTCCTGAAGACATTCTTGGATATTGCTTGGTGCAAATGCTGAGTCGCCACAGTGGTGTCAGGATGGAATTGCACTGATGTGTCTGAGAAAATGGGCTTGGGCAACTGTTTTCTTTAGATACAGGTAAATAATTGTCAGTGAAAGTTTTAGGATTCTTCAATGTTCTTTTATTCTGGAGGCAGTGTGTCCAGGCAAGTGTTAAACCATTCATTTTGCAATGTTCTGCCCCCAGCTTGCGGTATTGCCATCATATTGTGATATTGCCATATTATAGAAGTACAACACTGAACACTCAACTGGTTTTACCTCTGTCTCTCTAGAGCTGTCTATTTATCTTGACAAACCTTTGGGCATGGTCACTAAGGGGGGGGGGGGGTGTCTAGATATTATTTAAATATCAATTCTTCAGATTTAGCGTGAGTATAATTTCTTCCTGCAGTACCAATGCATATGTGCCAACAGTAGCTAAGTGCTGGTTTGAATGGATATCCAAAGGAAACTCTGCCAACCAAGGTCATTGTTGCTGGATGCAGTTATAATAATTCCAATGGAATCACCCAGCTGCTTAAAGCTTAAAGCCAGCCAAACTGCTTAAAGGCAGTCAAACTGCCAAACCCTAAGACTTAACAACAGAAGTTTTTAAGATTTTTTGTCTACTGTTCCTTTTCGCATTTAAAGAAATGTGGCTTAACAAAATTCTGTCATAGGCTGGAAGGTTTGTGCAGAAAGAAGGTAGTTAGCAAATAGAATTATGTGCAGAAAGGCTTTAATCCCTGCAGCCCCTGTGTAAGAACATCTGCTTGAATTACAGGCCATACATAAATTGTGCGTGCTTGTTTTTGTCACAGATCCTTCCCTTCCACCCTCTGCTCCCCACATCTTATATGATACACTGCAAAAAAAAACCCACCCAAAACAAAAGCTAATTAGTACTTCCAGCCCCCCCATTAGTGAAACTTGATATGTTTACTAAAAAAATAATTGCGACATTCCGTTCATAAATCTTTAGCAATGTCAGCATTATACTGATGGAATTATGATGTCCCAGTACAAATTGTCTGACCTGCTTTATGTTCCCCAGCACATAATTAAGGTGGTGGTGTGTTAAAGGAAGTAATTTTGTTCAAAGCTTTGGCACCAGCAGTGCAATGTCTTTTGCTCGTATTACTAACAGTTACCAGTCAAGGTAGGAGCTGCGCCGTGTTTGACTCTGAGATTAGACATATTCCTGTAGCTCTGAGCACAAGGCTTTGAGCAGCACATGCAAAATTTAAAATAATGTTTGGTGTGACTTTGTCAGGATTTGAGTTTTACTCTCTTGAGGGTTTGAATGAGCAAATGAGTTAATGAATGATGACAAGAAAAACTTAAAAACAACAAGCTTTAAATTTCATTCACAAGTAGTTTGAAATGTAACTTGCTTCCTTTCTTTGTAATCTTTGAACTTTCTAGTTCTTTTCTTTGAAGATTGAAATTTTAGGAGAGTATGTAACAGACCCTTGAAATTTGTTAGCAAATTGAATTTTGTTTTCAAAGCGCATATTCTGAATAATTATTTTAGTGGACCCATAGCAGTGTAAATTTCTGGAGAAAATGCCAATGGCAATGTCAGATCCTAATCCCACTAAGACTGTGTGCCTCACTGAAGTTCTGGAGTAATCACACTGACCTTGAGAATCACAATGTTTCTGTACAATTCAGCCATAAAAATGTCTTCCTCCCCATTTGCAGTCCCTGGTGAGATCTCCAAGCCTGTTGTCTTTAACTTGGGGCTGAGCTTCTGTAGAATCAGATTTTATGAGCCTTTCTCATGTATTCTTCAGTGACTTCCAGGCACAAGTCATATTTGCAATAGTTCCTTACAGGACAGATCATAAGATTTGAGCATAAACAAGTCAATAAAATGCATGGTAACTAACAAAGTAAATATGATTAAGTGTATTTTCCTCACCCCTGTGAAGCACTCAGGCTTTGGCAGATGATAGGGAATTGCCACAGTTACTTAAGTGTAGGATTTGAAATACCCAGTTCTTTTAATCACTGTGAAATTGCCTTTTGATTTCACTTGACTTTAGCACACACCTATGATGGCATGTAATGATGGCCTCTATTTTGCTATTATTTATTTTATTCCCTAGGAGGAGACAGTTTTTGATTTAAAATTTTCATAGTTTTACATACGTTAAAGAGCTATCAATGCCATTTCTGTTTAAAGTCAAAAATACATGCACTTTCATTTCTACTACAGTTAGTACATAGTACAGTGTTTACTTTTGGCTAAAGGCAGAAATAGTCTGCTCTGTGTTTAGAAGCAGGTGTTTGAGCTTAGCCAAAACTTTCCCCTTAAAGTCAGGAGAACATTCAAGTCATGATAAGTTTTAATTTGTCTTTCCAGCTAGTTATGTGGCCTAAATATATATACTCCTAAGTCATCATTTATATTGATTCTGCCTTTTTTTTCTTACATAGCATTCTAAGATTTCAGTAAAGCTTGGAAGATATATTTTGATATCATTACATCTTCAACACATTCAAAGCAGGATAATAACCCAAAATATACATTTTAGAGAAATTTTCCTGCTGTTTTATGGTACAACACTGACCTTCCTGCTTGGTCTCTAAATGAAAACACAGACTAAAAGATCACAGAGATTCCTTGAAACTTGTATTGCCCATTTCAGTGGGTGTAAATGATCCAGGCATTTCATTTCAGCATGCTTTTCTACTGTCCATTCAAATCTACAGCTAAGGTTCACATAAATTACACATCTAAACATATAGAAATAACTTGAAAATTCTGGGGTTTAGTCATCTTATACCAGTGTAAGCCTGTCTTTTTATGTCTGTTATTTCTGAGGTCTAGGAAATATGTCATTGGATAAATTGTCTTGTGAGGCCAAAATTAGCTGTTGCTCTTTCCTTTAAAATATTAACTGCTTAATAATTTCCATGCAAATACACTAACAATTAATAATTGCATTGCAATGACTTGGCTGCTTATAGCCTGTAAATTGAAGTATTAGGTGTATGTAAATATCTTTACTTCAGTGGGAAATGGAAAGACGCTGCTTAGTAATAAAAGCTGTCCTATTCAATTAGCAGAATGTTACATATCCTGTTTCCTTCTAAACACCATAGGGTCTCCTAAGTGTTCACAGGGTTGGTCTTGACTAAGCAGGCTGTTGCATTGCAGATTACAGGAAGCCTTGTACTGAAAATTACCATTTGAAATAAAACAGAACAAAAATTTTACCAACTATCAGTAGGACTGTGGCTTAGCCATTTGAAAAGCAAAGCTAAGGAGTGGAGGGAAATCAGGGTAACATTTTTTGCTGAGAAAAGGTTCTGAGTAGTTGAAACTATTTGACGAATAGTCAGAGTAGAAACAAAATTCACAAATGTTTTCAATGCAATGTTGAAATGCTTCATTTTGAAAATGTCAAATGAACTGGTTTGATATTTCAAAATGGTTTGGGCTTGTGCCTTGTAATGGAAGCCAAAGAAATAAAAGGCTAAGTTCACCCAGCTACTTGAGGGCTCTTACCAAATAAATGCCAGGAGATGCCTTGGCTCAATCGCATCTGTCTTCATGCCTCCCAGGGGTGCCCTCACCCTTCCACCAGATGATGTGTGCTCTGATTCTTATCCTGAAATGTTTCACTTTGCATGGTCAACTTGTATGTCATTGAGTAGAGAAGGAATCCTCTCATCACAGGAGTTCAACCATGTGCCAGAAGAGCCCAGATTTTGCCCATGCACTGAATTCAGCAGAGGCTAACCTGAGGACTCTGATGTCTCAAGGAGCTGTGTTACATCACATCATCAGCTACTTTGTGGTGAAACATCCTTAGGCTTCTCTTTAGTATGGGGTATTTATATGTTATTTGTTGAAGAGAACAAAAGCAGTCATAAACTACTTTTAGAATATCATTGAGTAAAAATCCTTAGGTGCCTAATCATTTCTTTCTCTTTCTTAATTTCTCCAAAATAAACTTCCTTGATATGGATAAATTTTTTGCGACTTATTTTACTTCTGTGTTTTGAACAAATCATCTGACAAGAAAATATAATCAGTATTTTCACATTCCTCCCCCAGATGGTTAAATTTTCAGAAATCACAATATGACAGTGAGTTGGAGTGATGGAAGTTGTTGGAATGTGTCAAGGATCAGAATTTCCCTTTACATTTCTTGGGTTGCTGTGTCAGTAGGTATAAGTCAGCATAACTCCATTCACATCAGAAAGGTGTGATGTTTTAAATTGAGCAGGGCGCTGACTCACTGTATTTTGATTCTATTAGGTAAATTAAGATTAGATGTGCTACTGAGTTTGGGGTTCCCCCCACTGATTTTAGTAAGTCCTTACTTACGTCTATGCATCTGCTTTTTTAAAAAAGACAAAACTATTTTAATTGACTAAGTTCATGAACATAAGATAATTAAGGTTGCAAGTTTCTGGAAGACTGAGATCTAGGATTGTAAGTCTGATACATTTTGAAAAATAACAATATTTGTTCTATGTATATCTGCATGTAAGTTGTGTGTGGTTTTGTGCAAGGATTATTGTTAAAAAGCATGGGTTTTTTCCACCTCTCAATTGAAGAAGATAAAAAAAGCCAAGCAAACTTAAATTATTTTAGTCTGCATTCAAGCAATGGTATAATCATGTCACTAGTTCCTGTGAACATAAGACCGTTATAAGAATCTTATTTAACTTCTTTTTACAGGTGTCGTCATCTACATCTGCAGGACTCAAGTCAAAATTTTGCCGTCAATATTTTATAGTCTTCATAAAAACTGAGGAATTTACGTATGTATTATTTCAGATTATTTCACAATATTGTTAATCTACTGTGTCCTCCCATCTTCTTTAAAAAAAAAAATTCCCCCATTGCAAAGCCATTATCACTTTTATGAAAACAAAAAGAGTGCATGTTTATTTTCCAAAATGTCCTTAAAGACTTTCATAAGGTTACTTCATAAAATGTTAGATTGTCTTTTGTCTTTTCTTCTCATCACTTCCATCTGCTGAGGAACTATGTGTGAAATACCACTAAATCAGAGTAACCATGGTGCATTAGGTTGTGAAGAGCAGGCCATGCCACTAAGAGTCAAAAATCCTCCTATTTTCAACCCCATTGATGGTTGCATTGTACTTTTGCCTGATTAAAGTTTAAACGTGTATCATGGTTCAAATTAAGATTAAAATGGGCTTTTCTAAATCAGGACCTCTTAACTGCTCTTCCAAAGTCCAATAAATTCAGAATACTTTGGATTACTTTCAATGTTGTTAAAGGTCAAACCTCTGAATGCCTGTTTAGGGAAAACTGGTTTTTATTAGCCAAGTATATAATTTTCGTTTTTTGTACTGAGACAGTCATGTAAAATTATGTCCCATTACCGGGTTGCACAATTAAGAATTTAAGAAACAAAGTTAAGACTTTATTTTTAGTACAAATCTTTGTTCAACTCAGTTTTACATGGTAAATATTATGCATAAATATATGTCAACTGTGACATTTTATGAGAAGATAATATATGATTCATAAACAAAGTATTAATTTAAATTTCTTTTGTTTTTTCATTAATGACTTTATTGTTGCTTTTTAGTGGATTTTGTGACAATATTTTTTATAAACTTCAACAATATCACACGACTGAAATAAGCAGTAGTGATGAAATTAAGATATATCTAGAGGATCATTGCATTTTTTTCATAGTATTTCTTCTACCTCCACTTGAAGTCACAAGTCAGTGTAAAAAATGTTATTTTAATAAGATGTGTTGGGGCGATAGAAAACATTATTAATTAGATTTGCGGTGGTTCATGTATGGACATTATTTGAGAAGCTCTGTGCAATTTGAGGACTTTTAAACTCTCTTTCCATGGATTTTGGTGCACAGACTGCTACTGGCTGTTGCAGTGATTGCTCAAAACCTGTCTACGGTGGTTCTTGCCCATCCTTGAGCCAGTCCCCACCTGCAGTTGTGAGCACTGGCCTCGTGTGAGTTGGCAGAACTTGGGCGACACAGCTGGCACTCAGATCTGCTCGGGTTTAGTGCCAGGTCAGCCAGTGTGTCCATAGCAGGAGACTTTGGTGACTGTGAGCTTTCCACTGTGGGACTGCACTTTCCTGCCTCTCAGCAGAGTTACAGGGACAAAAATTGCTTCAAGAGATGTTTAATTTCTACTCTATTAAGGAACTCAAAAAACATTTCAGATAAGAAACTCAGCCTCCTCTTACTTATTAAAGGTACTGATAAGTTGATAAAGTCAAACCTTCCCCCTTTTCTCTGTGTTCAAACTTGGGAAAATTCAGTAACAGTCTTGTATTCTGCCTGCTAACCTTAGGCCATTGAAGCAATACATCAACAGGAAATGAAAAAAAATATATGTCTCAAATCCATGTGTTTTTAAACTGATATCATAGACTAACAGGCAAGATATTAACTTTGTTTAGGCCATCAATATTTCATTGTAAGCCATTCCAGATTAATATCTCCTTATTGGGGATTTTTTGTGTATAGGAAGAATCATATTTTCGTTTAACATCTTAAAATATAAAGCATCTTTTGAATCAGTTTGGAAAAAAAATAGCAATCTGACTGTGCTTCTGGTCATTTTCCTCTGATTCCTTATTCCAGAAAAACCCAACAGATACAAAACGTATTTGTGGGAAAATATTAGACGCAGTTCTTCTGTCTCCAATTTTGGGGAATGCAGACCTGTAATTAACATGGGTCTCACTCTGACAGAAAAATCTCTAAAGCTCATTATAACTTTGTGTGTACCTTTGAAAAGGCAAGTGCTGCATGAGCGTCTTTCAGATGCATTTTCCATACAGGAAAGTTTGGAAATGTGTAAGCCATGGGAACTCGCACTGCTCCTGCCTGCCTTTACTCTCTGGATTTGCCAGTGGGGCATTGTCCATACCACTGACTCTACAGTTTCAAGATAAACTTTACCCCATTTCCCCCAGCCCCTAACCAGGTGCAGAATTTATATCCAACCTCCTGGCCTTGAGGCAGGAATGCTCCCCGGTGAGCTCTCCTGACACTACAGCACATCCTGCCACGACTTTTAACATCACTAGAGACGTTTTTTCTCCCCAAAGGAAATAATGACTTGCAGTAACACAGCTTGTTGTGCGATCTTGTTGGAAATCCAAACATGTGGCAATTTACGAGTGTCAGCAGAATTTTTTAGACTTGTGTGGCAGTACGTGCTGTGCGTTAGATGTTGGAATCTGACCCTTCGGCTTTGCCACAGTGGTGTCCCAGGAAAACCATGTAGATTTGCCTCTACTCTCTTTTCTATTTACTTTCTTTCCCTAATATTCTGCAATATAGTTTACCTATGTAGCAATTTGTATGTGTTCTGCCTGTAGATTGTTCTTTACAACCTGAAATCCTGCCTAAGACCTTTTCATTTTATCTGATCAGTCAATTTTGATATTTTTGTTTTTCTTTGTACAATTCATGCTTTCTTTATGGAATTCTTGACTAATTGAAATAGGGTTTTAAATTAAGAGGCAGAAAATGGTGAAGGCTATGAATGCACTTTTTCTTTCTCACCCCAATATTGTAACAATTAGGATTTTTACTAAGAAAAGATTTTTTTTCTACAAATGATGAAACTCAGTTTCTAAAATCCAGTTTTAATACCTGTGTTCTGCCTAACCGGATCTGAAAGCAATATAGATCTCAAGTTGTTTCATGACAAAACAGTCTTTGCATTCAGCCTTGAGCAAGTGAAACAGGGTTTCTGGTTATTCCTATTAAGAACAGCATAAATAAACCTGAGCACACTGCCATGTAATGTTCAAGTAGAAAATAGTCTTATTACAAACTGGCTTGTCTGAAATTTGGGTTTGGCATGTTTAACATGTTTTACATCATCAGTTTTTGTTACAGCTGTTGGCACTAGACTGCAACATGATTGAGAGCTTTTGATGACCTCAGCTTCTGCAGTTTATTAAGTCATCCAAACAAATAAAGAGGTTCTTTCAAGTAGCTTGCTTACAACATCTGCCTTACCTGTATATTTTTATGGTCTAGTATAATTGTAATTTGACTTTTAAGTGTCTATCAGTGAGGGAAAGAGGGAGAAGAGAATGCTCCTATTCTGTGGCTGAAAAGAAAGGGAAAAGTACACCTTGGCTACCATCTCTACTGAATACATAATGAAGGGCTAAGAAAACAACCTTTTAATGGCCTCAAGACTTGGTTTGATTAATAAAATAAGCATGTTTTCATTCTGAAAATCATCAGCAGTCAATTATTATGAATACAGCCGTCAATTATTATGAATATTATGAAACTGCTGAAATTTCATAGAGGGGCAGAAATAAGTATTGCATAAACTACAAGAAACAGTGAGAGCAATGTATTCATGTGAAGGAAGCAGATTGGTTTTATGAAAACTCGTTTTGCCTGGGACAGTGGCATATCCAGTGCCTCCTAGTTCTCTGCTAGAATCCAGATGGTTCTGCATTGCAGAGAGAATATTTTAACAACAGCTGATTATTTCTTCAGATTTGGAGATTTTCAGAGAGCTTTTTCCTCAGTTCTTGGCTGACATAGGACTTGATAAGATACATGTTAAATGACAGAACTTGAAAACTCAAAGGCTTTGTTTTTTATAAATCAGATGAAACCTTTCGACTTTCACATAACCTTGTGGTGTGGCGGTAAAACTGATGGTTTGAGCCAGGTTGAAATTAGAGTGAAAACAGCTTTTGTGTTGGCATTTTAACACATCTGTCAGGCAAGTCGGCTTTGGCACAGTGGGAAAAAGAGAGCACCAAAGCAACATTAAGCAACTCTGGTGATCCCCAAAACCCTATTAAAGCAGAAGTCAGTAAGATCTAGCACAGTGGAAAGTGTGAATTGGTTTCTTTCCCCCAGCGGTGCTGCTGGAGGTGCCTGTGCGGCTGCAGGGCCCCGGCGATCCCTGGGCCTGGCTCTGCCCTCCGAGCTCAGGCAGTGCTGAGGTCACATCCAGAGGGCAGGAAAGTGTTTGAAGATGGGATGCTCCCATTTTCTTCCTTTGGAAACTGTAATGGGTAAACAGGTAATGCCTGTAGGTGTAAACACCAGCTGATTCTTACATTTTCAGAGGAAGATTACCTGAGGTCAACAGCAAGAACTTCACGAGGCCTGTGGAGACTCTGGCTGTGTATAGTCGCTCCCTGTAGTGCCCCTGCCTGAAGTCCATCATGTCATCTCTTCTTGGCCAGGTCAGCTCTCCTGGGTTATCCAGTGCTGGCCCAAAGTTATGGTAAATGTGTCTTCCCAGCAGCAAAGGCATGACTAGATACAAATATGAGATGCAGCTAAAGCTAACTGCATTTTCAGACAGCATCTTGTAATCCCTGTGCTATGGCTCTGAGCTCATGCAGAAATTTGCATTTGTGCGTGTGTAAATCGAGCCAGACCATCCTGAATGGGCAGTCAGTGGATTTCGGGGTGATACCAGCACTCAACACACTGTGGACTTCAGTGAGACTTGATTAGATCACATTCTAAAGATCACATATAGGTATGCAGCTTGCTCTTTTTTTACAGAGCAAAAGGGAGGGTCAAAGTACTCTGAGTCATGACACAGAAAGGTCTATTTCTCTTAAATTAGGGATTTGCTGTGTAGTAGTTTTGACTATCCTATCACCATCAACAAAATACTGGCACCAGCCACTAAAATGACAGTCTGCTTGGCTGGATCTCAGTCTGGGGGAGTTTGCAATGATGCCAGCAACTCAGAAGAGCGTCAGAAGTTGTTTTAAAGTACTGAAAAGCAACATGTAAACAGTGAGAAAATACATGAGTAAATGGAGAAAGAAGTTGTCATCAGCTGTCCTTCTGTGGAAGCAGGAGAATGCAAGTTTAAAAATGAGTGAGTCTCAGTGAGTATGCAGTTTTCAGAAATCCAAAGCTGCTAATTTTCAAATCCATCTCACAATATGTCTGTTTAAGCTGCCTCAGAAATAGTCCTTATGGAAAATAATGAAAACAGCCACACAGTCCTTCAAGTCAATATTATCCTTGTGGTTTTAATTCAGGTCCTGGTCAGAAGCTAATGGGATTTGTTTTCCTTTGACTTCCACAATCTTTGAATCCAGTCTTTAGCATGCACAAATTCATGAAAAGCTGGGGAGCATGTTTATTCCCAAAGTGAAGCAGTCTTCCAGGCATTTCTCTTTTTCTTCTAAGCCTGCCCTTTTCTCTTTGGGATAAAGGTGTGGGCAATAGGCCATGTTTCAATGTCTGAGACCATCTGCCAACGCAAACTGAAAAAAATTAATTATGAATGGTGTCTTCCCATGCTAAATCATTTATTGTAAAGGAGTTTTTCAGCTTATTTGTAATGGCTGTAGCCTAAGGGTGCACACTGTATAAATTGCCTGATTACAGGATACAGAACACTTCTAAATAGGCCTCAGATGATTAGGAGAGGGGAAAGAAATTAAAAAGGCCCTTTAGGTATGCAAATGGATTGCCGAACAATAGACAAAGATATGAAAGACCATGATAAAACATATCCTATTTTCTTTTACCTTAAATGATGTACTAGGCAAGTAGCAAGCTTCATTACATGTGTCAGCTGAGATGTGAATTGTTTCATAATTGAAACAATGCTTTGCCAGATAGTGCATGTTAGATTTCAAGATAAAGTACCAGGTTTTGTGTCCTCAAGCAGTTTGGGGTTTGCTGACTAAATCTGTCTTAGGAATGGTTACATTCTGACCTTGTTTAATTTAACTCTGCCTACTTTAACCTCTTTTGAGTTACCTCTTCAAACAGAAAGGACTAAATTTGCTTTTGTCCCACTAGATCCTCCTCTGAAGTCACAGTAACGTGTCTGCCTCTCCTGAACAGGCAGTGCTGGTATTTTCCTGCCTGTTTGAAGGTAGCTGGGTGTGTTTAGACAGCTCAGTGAACAGCAGGAGCCATCTCCAGTCTGTCACACCTTTACACAAATTTGCACTCCCTCTTTCCCATACCCTTACACACATACACATCTGTGTGGGACAAGCATCTGCTGTTTCCAGGGAGCCTGAATATTTGGGGAGATAAAAATTTAAATTTCCTGGTACTAAAGTAACTCAAATGTCTTAGCAGTCAACAGCAGCTCCAAAGGAACTGAAAGGTGAGAGGTGATAGATAATATTGCCTTTAAATATTGCTCTCCCATGACACTCAGGGCTCCTTGGAGTTTAAGTGACTACGGAAATTGGTCAGAAGTGGGTGCTTAACAGCTAAAGCCCTTTGAAAATTTACACCCCCATACCTCCAGTTGCTGTGTCTCAAGTGTGAAGCAGACAGGATGCTGACAATCACCAGATGGGGTTTAAAATAGTTTTTTAAATCATAGATTTTTAGAAAACTTTTGAAATCCTATTAGTCTGCTATATTAAGCATTTGGGGTTAAGATTCTCCTTACAAGTATGATGTGTCAAATGTAGCAGGATTAGGATCCCAAAGCCAGTGTAAGCTGAATTCTAGCCAAAGCTAGAATTCTCCCATAATTATACAAGGCCAGTACCTGAACATATGAAAATTTGAAGCTTGTTCTAAACTCATCAGATTTGAAAACCTCCCACTACTTAATCTCCTTGTATTTTGCTCAATTTCATACAACATCAGGTTTGCAAGTTTAGCCAGAGGAAGCTTATGAGACCTGAGCTGTGTGTTACAGTCATGAGGAGCTCAACACATAAAAAACGAAGATATTTTGATGTGTCTGCCAAAGAAAAAATCCAAATCAACATTTATAAATTAATCAAGTCTACATATTTTAGATATATATATTGTTTTTCATAAGACAAGTGAGCAAACAAGGAATTTAAAATAGTCTCCATATGTGCGCTCTGTCTGTAAGGTCCAGTCTGCCCTACTTTATTTGTCCAGTCTTTCTCCAGAGGAAAAAATCTTATCTGCAGGTGCACCTTACATGTAGAACCCAATCCTCTGATCCAAGTGTTGAGTCTAGGCCTGCCCTTACTCCCATTTGGAATCTGCTGATCATTATTATGTCTTCCTCTGCTTAGGTTAGGCCATCAGGTCAGCCTTCAGCTTCTTGCAGTGGGCAGTTCTTCTCTCAGATGCAAGACAAAAAGGAATGGAGAGGGGGAGGGTAAGGAGAATTTTATGATACAGTCATCTGGGGCTTGCAAGAGCTGTAAATTGGGATTTAGAGTGATATCAGTATTCTTTCATTTATTTCACCAAGTAACAAGGGAAACAGCACTTTGAATGTAGTACTAATGAATAAATAATGCACTCATTTGAAAGCTGGATTTGAGACTGAGAAATATATCCAGTATTTTTAGTGGGCCTGAAATTCCATTAATGTACCAGCTCCCTGCCATGCAGGGAGATGCACTTGATGCCAGTACGGCCCAGCCACCTGCCCCAGCCACAGGGAGGAAAGCCCAGCTGTTCCTCCCACATTTTTGTTGGCAGTTCCTGCACTCTCTGGCCATTGTTGAACTTTTTCAACCTAAGGGATGTGATAAAAAGAGAATGTTAGGTTAAAATTTGTTTGAATCTGTGTTTCCTTTTTGTAGGTACACAGTTTGTGGTAATTGTGAGTGGGGCTGGGTTGAGCCTCATCCCCAGTGGGCACAGCTGAGAGAAGCAGGTGAGCAGCCCTGGCAGCAATGAGCCATGGAGTGCCCAGGGGCACTGCCCAATCCCAACGGGAACAGAGGGCACACAGGGTCATGAGGGGTATAAAAGGTTGGGCTAAAGAACAAGAAGGACAAATGCTTGCAGCCGTCTGATGTGATCTGGTGTTACTCTGTTTGGGGGAATGCTTAAAGCTTTCTGAAATTGTGTGATGATGCTCTTGTATTGTGGCCATCTCGACGGTGACATTTGCTGCAACACGTTTTATTTAGTATCCACGCTTACCTCAGGCTCAGGTTTGGTTGTATCCTGTGAGGTCCTTGGCCTGCTGGAGCAAAGCACAGTGAGGGATCACCAGTCCCTCTAGGGGAGCTCTGAACACTTTCAGTGCCCTGTGGCCCTGTCCTTGAGCTGTTTGATGAACTTTGCATGCAGAGCTGTGGTCCATTTGGTTGTCAACCAACAGTCACTGCAGTACTGTGTAAAGTTTCTGGATTGGCTGAAACACTATATGGTCCTCTAAACATCCAAGATGATCAAGGAGCAAAGCACTTAAGATTTTTCTGTCCTAATAATTTCTCCTTACTTCATTCTGTCCATGTTCCTTTGCAGTTCTTTCCAAGCAATCATCCTGGGATTTTATAGACCTGCTTACAACCATCCCTTGGGTGTTGTGTTTCTCACTTGGCTCAATTACAGCATGAACAAGCTATAATTTATTGCATTGTGCACCTCTAAATACATCATTGCTGACTATTTTTCCCTAATAATTTGAAAATGGTAAAAATCTGTCATGTGCATCTTTTCTGTCTTCAATACACCTAGCAAACAGAATATGGAAAGGTCTAGAAACTATGATAACTATTTCTGTTATTTTGGAGGAGGGGTCCACTCCACAAATAGGAGTTTGTGGAATTTTCCCTCCCCGCTTCTGTGGATTATGAATTCTCAATGGGTATCTGAGATCAGGTCACAATGGGATGAAATCTGTGAAAGATTATTGATTTCTTTAAGAAATGAGGAAATTTGTAAGCCATGGCATGCGCTGTAATATTGGTCCTGTCTGGCAGATCAGCTGCCAGATCAGTGGTTTATGAATGCAGTCATTTCAGGATCCCTATCATCATTCAGACATGAAAAATTATTTTTAAATGGATGTGTAATAGACTTAATTTTTATAAAATTAATATTTGCAGTTAGCATCAACAAATACATTTCATTTCATTTGATGTTTGTGTTTTTCCTTATTCCTAACTATTAGATAGATGAAAAGCTTTGAATCCAGCTTGAAATATGGTATTATATATCCTACATTAGGTATCTTTGAAATAGCATGTGTGGGTGTTTATGACAGTTTTGAAGATTGATGATTGACAGTCACTCCCATAAAAAGTAGTAGTATGAAGAATCGCTCGTTTCAAGAATGCTGAGAACATTCCTTACTTTGATATTTTTCCTTCTTTTCTGAAAACTGAAAAATAGTTTTATTTTTTAAGAGTAGGAAAATATGAACAAAAAGACACTTCATCAGGCTAATCTGCTATTTTTTTTAAATTTTACTTCCTGATCTAAAAAATCAGTGAATGTTCTCCCTCCTAATGTCATACAGAGTCCTTTTCTAGGTCTTTTTTATTGTAAGCTCAATCCTACATGATCCTTTCTGCTCCACAAAACCTCAGGAAGGCAAAACAACAAAAAAAGCAATGTAAGGGAAAGGTGATATTGTAAAGCAGTCCCCTCCACAGTGAGTGTGAAACCCAGCAGGAAATAATGTCCTCAGAAGGGAAAAGTAGCTTTGGCTTCTCACTACACCTCACCATTCTTGGGGTAAATGCCACAGTTTTGGACTCTGAGGAAGCCCCACCACCAGAGCAGCTGCCTGAACCACCTCCTGGGGCAAAGCTCAGCCCTACAGGATCCTCCTCTCCTTTTGGGGTGACACAGACTCCTGAGTCTAGTCTGTCATTATATGTTCTGATATATATTGTGGTCATACTGCTTATTATTGAAATCTTAAAATGCTTTTGCATTTATTAAACTTTTAGGTTTGTGGCAGCAATTCCCCTTCCCTCCCCACCACAGATTCTGTTGTTTTTCAGGTATCAGATTGTAGTAACAAGAGGAGCATATTAAGGATCAAAGCAAAGCCTGAGGATGATAGGTGCATAAAAATACGTTTGTTATCCATTGCAGGACTTTTACAGGTAACATGAATTTTATCATGTTTAAATTTAAGTCTCTCTAATGTTTAGACTAAGTTTTTTGATTTACTCCTCAAGTTTCCAGTGGATTCAACTGGCTGTGATACAAAACAGCCAAAAATTTTGTCTTGTCTATTTCTGGTTATTTCTTCATTATAGACTTTCTTTTAGCTAGTCATATAACCCAAAATTATATAACTAAAAAAAATGAAAACCATGTAGCTTATAAAAAATGCTGAATGATGTGCTTTAATTTATAAAAATAAATTCCTTTCTCGTGAGATTTTCTGTGAAGATGACATCCTATGAAGTTGATGGTACTCACATGGCCTTTGAGGAGCATTGGCTTGTGATGCTACAGGGGGCTTGGAGGGAGGAACAATTAATTTCCATTTTGTGAATATGGAGGTAAAAGACACTGATCTGCAGACTGGTCCTGTTCAGAATTCTGACAAATGAGATATTTAGCTGGTGCAAATAAATATAATTCCTTCATGCTTCCTTACAACATCTTAGCTTGTAACATATCAGACTAAAAAAAAGGGAAACAAGTCCAATTCCAGGGCTTGAAAACTATTCTTTTCATGAGTGAATCATATGTGTTTAAAAGTACAGAATATCTAAAGATATACAGATATACTTCTATAAAGAGATAGAAGACTGCACCTCTCTTACAGAATTGTGTAATAGAAATGTAGGCAAACTTCAAGCTCTGCTTTTGCCCTGCTGAAACTGCAATTCCTATTCAGCCTCTAAGAGCCTGACTAGAACCTTCAATTTCCTCAGAAAATGCTTTATTTAATACCTGATGAAAAAAAGAGGATCTCTAGGATCACAGAAATAAATTGTCAGCATAAAACCAGTGAAGATATTTTTGCTTGTTGTCTTACAGGACAGATGGCTTCTCAAATTCTGCATCCAGGCAGATAAGGAAAAGGTAAGATCCCCATTGTGTACATGTGTCTCTTAGCCTAATCTTTTCCTGATTAAAATAGGGGGAATGATAGCACTGCAAATAATATGTTTTTAAGGCTTGCTAAGTCCTATTTCTCAATTGACATGGACATACATGGCAATTGCTAATTAGGGGCAAATTCTGTGTAGGGCTCCTCATGTTACACAGCTCACAAATAATGACTAGGCTCTGCAGAAATGAAATGTTTCTACTCATTTTGTGATGAAGCAATTGTGCATCTTGCAGTCTGAAACCCTTTATGCTTACTATGTGCAGTAAAAAGCATTTTATATTTCTAGGTCACAGGTACTTTAGAACATATTTTGTGAACAGGCGCAAAATGCCACCATTTTTGCTAGCTCCTTCTGTGTGTTTTAATAGGAAAAATGTGGTAATGTGTTGAAAGATTGATAAATAACTTGTGAAAAAACTTAGTTACTGAATGGCCTGTTGTCCTCCCATCATAGTAAGACTTCGTCATAGTATGAATCACTCAGCAGGCCTGGAACAACATCTCTCAGGTAGCATATACCTTTACATTTCAGAAGAGTGACAAACATGGTATTTTACAGTACTGTGCATGACTGATGATGCAGGAGTAAGTAGGAGTAGGAAGTACACTGGAGTTATAAAGATGTTTTAAATGAAACCTCAAAAGCAATCAGTTAGTGAATTTTATCTTCTGATTGTTTTGTGCTTAAGAGAGTAGGAGCAAAAGCCAGGCATCATTTCAGTCCTCATGACTGGACTTTCCTGGCATGCATTTACACAAGGACACAAATTATTTTTGTTTCTATCTTTGAAAACTAGGGACTTCGGTTTATCTCGGTCATCTGCATACATTTTTACAAACCAATGCCAGTGTAAAGTCTCCTTCTGGAAAGAGTGTTCACTGGTAAGGTTCAAGCTCTGCAACTCTTCCCATCAGCCTCTGTGACATGTTTGTGACTTTAGTTACATAAGATACACAAAAGCTGGTGGGGAAAATAAAACCTTAGATAAAGTTTCTCTATTTCTCATGTAGCACAACTGATTGAGGAGACTGTTGCCGACCTCACATCTGCCACCAGCATTTTATAAAAGCTTTTGAACCCAGATCAGTTTACAACAAACTTTATAGAATGACTTCATAAACAGTTCCAGAATGAAATAAATTGCAGCAGGAGATGGGAGCAGTGTCCCAGTGCAGGAGACTTCCTTTTGGGCGGTTGAGCTAAGGTGGGCTCCCACTCATCCTGTTGGTTACTTCCACTGCCAGCAGAAACAGAAGAAGGATGCTGAAGCTGTTTCTGCAGTGTTGGACCATGGGCTGGTGCATGCAGGCTGAACATGGGTTCTCTCATGCACATTGATCTTTGGTTGATCTGCTAGACAACCATGAGTGTCCATGCATACCAATCCTACCTATGTTAGGAACAATTATGTGTTTGGTAATAAACCTAAAATTATATCTCTGTATTCAAATAGGTGATCACAAACTGGCAAGGAGGGAGACAAGGAAATTGTCAAGGACAAGACATTGACACTAGGAAATTTTACCAGGCACATTGTTTTAATACTGATCATTTCACATGCTCATGTGAAATGTCTCAGTCCAGTTCTAAGAGAGGCATATTCAAATGTTCCCAGCTTAATTTTTCAGGCTGTATTACAGGACAAGATAGATTTAGCATTCTTTGAAACAGGAATTTTCCTAAATTAAGCTTTAGGACTTTGCATGTACTCTAACTAAAATTGGTTTCAAATCTGATCAGAAATGAAGCCTGTTGTTGATGCAGTTCTAGTATCTATTTTCTCTAGAGGTGGAGGGAACTGTGAAGGTTCCCTGACTTTACTGTGCTTCCACAGATTTTTATGAGGCCACTTTTGTAGATTTCAGCACAGAAGAGGATTAACTGCAGCACAGGAACAGAAATGAACAGTCAGTGTTTAAAGGAAATACAAGAACTTCTATGCCTTACTGTCAGAGAAAAATGTCAGGTAATTACACCTTGAACAATGCCAAGATTGCATTTCAGTGATGATTAAGACAACAGATATCTTTGAATTTGTTTCTCAACTGTCTCTTGCCTGTAAAAGAGTGAGTTTATTGTCAGGTTCACTAATGACTTTAAACAGCCTTTATGCTGTTTTATAGATCAGCTATAACTGCAGGAAAACTGGGACCTTAACCAGTGTGGGTGTTGAGGCCTGGGCTTCAGCAAAATCACTCATTGACACAGTGCTATCAATGCACAGTGTGCCTGTAGCAAGAAACTGTTCTTTGAGTGGTTAAAGCCTTTTGTTTTGGGGTGAAGAGTGGGGTTTGGGGATGGTTTTTTGATAAAAAGCATCCAGTTCAAGTGTGTACCTCATACATTAACAGTATCTGAGCTAGACCATGTTATGACTATGCAGAGATGTTTCCCCCCCCCAAATTCTAGAGTCTTCCAGAAGTCAGGGAGTACAATTGTTATCTACTAGTGGCATTTATAATCACTCTTTTGAAACAAATTGATCAAACAAAACATTTTTCCTTCCTTCTAGCTGGAAATTTCTGGCATTAGCATGAGTAAGTAACACTCACAAGTTAGAGCAAAGGGTTTCTTAGGAATTGTCCTTTTCTCATTCATATATCTGTATATATGCACTGTTGTACCTTGGCTTTCAAGCATCATGTGTTTGTTTAAAAGAAAAGGACACACACCTTGAAAATCTGTTGTCAAACAAAGTGCTTGAATTCCAGCTGAGCAGGACTCCCAAAAGAGCAATCCTTGCCAGTTTGTATTATGGAAAAGCCTAATTCTGACACACTGTTCTGTGTAGCCTTTTCCACACACTGAAGCAGCCTGAATTAATTCTCATGTTAGAGTCAATCAGCTTGGGAGTTTTCCTGAAGGCAGGTGTTTCAAGGTGCATGCAGTTTTAATGAAAAGTGAAGATAGCTGCTTTCAAGCATGTAGACCTAGAAAGAGAATTTCCCAGAGGCTGCTATACATATACTAATGCATTAACAGTTAAAAAAGTAAGAGCCTCTCCAGTGTCAAGCATGTCTGCTAAACCAGCTTGACAAAGGCAAGAAGCTCGTCTCTGATCAACTCTCTTCTCCCCTTTGTCTGATGCTGTCATGCAAGCTCAACACTAAAATATTGTACTTTGTGGGGTTGCTGTGACACCGTTTGTCATTTTGGTGTTATCTAGTTACTCCTTGACTCTGTGCTCACTGAGTGTTTCGTGTTGTGATTGATTTGGTCTTCTTCATTAAGAAATTAGGAAAGGACTTTAGTGCTTTATGCTAACCATAAAACAAGGAATTTTCAAATCTTAGGAACTTGGTGTGCATGGTTCACTAACACTTATTAGTATCTGCATTGTGCTTGTTTAGCTGAGAGAGTAATGAGGGAATGTTTGAGAGAGGTAAGATTCTATGGGGACAGACTGTCCTTAGACATTGTTTATATTTATTTAGTTAATAAACTCACATAATGAAACAGTTTCTGTCTACATAAACTGTTTTCAGAAATTACTTTAAGAATATCCATGTAAGGTGAGTTTGGGTGTAGATGGGGACAAATCAGTATCTCAGGCATGCCATGTATATTCTAAGATTAATAGGAAAATCTTTCGGTGTGGTCCGATTGCATCATCAATGCACCCTGCCTATTGAGGCAACTTGCTTTTGCAGCTGTTTGATATAAATTCCTCGCATATGTCTCAGTCCCCTTGGTTTATTTTTATAAACAATAAATAGCCCAACATTCCTGCAGTGTTTCCCTTCCCTCGGACAATCCCATTTGCCATTTGCCATGAAGACAGTGGCTGAGATTAGTGCCGTTTGCACAGATGGCGGCCATCGTTTGGGAAATCTCATAAATGGTGGAACACGTGGACTTTTTCCTCCCCCTTCAACATGATCACAATAGATTATGAGGGCCTACAAATCACTACCAGATGATATTAAGTTGCTTTGATAACACTCTGGGTCCCTTCCGGTGTGATATTTTTCTTCATTAGAAAGGATAGCTCAAGCACACCAAATCCTCTTACTCTTTTCTCAAAATTTATAGATCTCAGTCTCTAAACTAATTGTTAGTTGCACAGCATGCCTTAAGCTGTGCCCAGACAGAGCAATTACATCCCCCAGCCCTGATTAAAGGCACAGAGGAAACAGAAGTGCAAAGAAAATGAAACACTCTTGGCTGTTTGGGCAGGATGTCATTGCTGTTGTTTGCCTTTTTTGACATTTGTTGATAAAAGTGAGAAAGGAGGTCAGTTATCCATCACTGACCCTTGTTCAGTGCCAAAGATGTGACAGGCTTGTCTCAGGCTACTGACTCCGTTTATGAAATTATAAACAAAAAGGGGTTTCTAGGGCAATGTGCTTCTTTTCTATTAGCAGCTCAAGAATTTCTTCATTTTCCCTTTGCTAAATTATGTGTCTTTTAAACTCATTTGCTTCTGTGCGTCTGCCTAAAACTACAAACCTAGTTGATCATGAATGAGCAGGGCTGTACAATCATAAAAGCTCTATAAATTACCTTGAACAAGGAAAAACTCATATTCAAATACTTTTGCATATTCAAGCATTTTTTATAAAATGTTTCACACCTGTAAAGTGGAGCCTTAAAAAGTTGTGCTTTCCTGTTGTGATTTACAGTAGCTTTATGGCTGACAGTGTGCTTTAACAGTCAAAGTTGAGATTTTCAAAGGAAAATGGGAAAACACTATTTGCTTTCACCCAATATCTGAGGTAATCATGCCCAAGTTTGTAAATATGAAGTGGAAGTACATGTTTTTAAAGTGCTAAAGTGGCTTAAAAATCATATACAAGCATCTAAAAATCAGATGGAAGACAGCAGCAATTTTCTTGCATTAAATCTAAGCTTGTGTTTTCAGTGACATCTCTGGTAATGTTTTCAGTCTGCTGGGAGTTATCTATTTCATAGAGCAGTTTGTGGAAAAGGCACTGTATTGTATTTTAAATATTTTAGCCAGGACTGCCA